TAAGATATGTGACCTTTCCTGGCTCGTTCCACACTCTCCGTCGAGAGACTCTCCGTGAATCTCCGTCGAGAGGGTGAAAGATTCTGCTTTTATACAATTTTGGAAACGGTAGTGGGAGGTGACCACACCTTGTTACTATGAGTCATAAGGCGTTGCCTAGCGGATGTGAGTCTACTTCTAGGGGTGTGGCTCGCTTGCCAGCACCTCGTTACAATGAGTCATAAGGCGTTGTCTAGCGGATGTGAGTCTACTTCTAGGGATGTGGCTCGCAATTCATTACCTTATATGGTTATGCGTGGCGTTCTGCTTCGACGAAGACTAGATTCACTCGAATGAGTCATACAGGTGACTCGTCTGAATTCTATTTTTATTCTCTAGTCTAACGGCGATTTGTATTGAGAGCGATACTTCTTTTCATTATTAAATTTCATTATGACCTTTATCATGAAGAAAATATTTAATATTTGAATAGTAAAAAGTGCAAATATATGCTGAATATTATTTAAATTTCTTTAGACATACTTTACATACAGTAGAATAATTTAATAATACAATTCAAGTCATTATTAGCATGTCTAAAGTGTAAGAGATATTGCTCTCTTTGTCTAATAGTTAATATGGTATATCTGACTCTCTCTTTCTTCCTTTCAGATCATACAATACTCGCATCTCGCTCGGATTCGTGTTCCTTATGCTGCGCATAATACAATTTTATCTTTCTCGAATTCGTGAGTAACGGTTCGGCGCTTGACATTCGATATTTATATTAATTTTAGTAAGTATATATATATTTGTTAATAGTAATATTAATAAACGTGATGTTAGCGGTGTTAATAATGATTCTAATATCAGGTTAATAATATATCGTGCAGATAGAATTGGTCAGCATTCTCATTAGTACAGGAAATTAATGAAATTAATTTGTTTATATATATATATATATGTAATAAGATTTTATTATTTTTATATCTCACGAATGGTTGGGAATTTGATGGGAGTGTATAGGAAATATATTGCAGGACTTTCACTGAAGTATAATATCGCGTTGGAAAATTTTATTGTTGATATATGTATTTGTTAATAACAATTTATTAATTAAGTAAATTGGTACTCTTTAATTCGCGTATTGATATTATTATGTTCTCTTTGTTTAAGAAGTTTTGAATTTCTAATATTATCTTGTTTATGAACATTCGTTATTTTATTATTATAAATATTTCGTAAATAAACAATTGCAGAAATAAAAGTTATAATCATTTTTCGTAGGTCTACTGATGCAGAGTTTATGTGCGCGGTCAAAATTTGTGTTTACCCGAACGAGTTTTTATGTTCATGATCTATAATTGCCAATTATACGTCATAATGCAGACGGAGGTATATATTTCGTTAATTAATTAGGTGTAGCAAATTGTTAAAATTTATGTTTTCCATATGGGCTTGAAGAGGAAGGTTTAAACTTAATTTACATCCAAACGGGGTATTTTTTGCAGACGTCATTTAAGAGATATTAAGGGTTGAAGTTTGAAATAGTCGAATTTCGGGTAGTTGTGATAGAAAAATATCAATTATATGGCACAACTCCCATGCTAAACTGTTATACCGGGTGTCTTTCCCTTTGGAATTTTTTGTAGCCTCAACCAGAGGAGTGACGAGGCTCTGACCCACACAAAAGCTACTATGCATAACCTGGGGCACATGCTAACGGCTATTATTAGTGTGGTTAATTATTTATTTATAATTGTTTATAAAAATAAGTTGCAAAATCAAACAATCTTGTAGTAAGTATTTTTTTATTAAGTCGATCAGTTTTTCGAGATGATTTTGATGACGTAGTTAGTAAAATGGTATTGATATAATTTTAATTGTTTATAACAATTGTTTTGAAAAATATTAATAAGATAATAGTTATTTCAATGTGGTGTTTTTCCATAGATATAGGAGCATGTATTTCTATAATTGTTTTATCTCCGTCTATTTGTTTTCATTTTTATTTTAATTTATTAAGAGTTTATAAGGCTATCCTTGTCTTACTCTCTATGAACTGGTATTAAACTATCCTCGTCTTTCATGGAGTGAATGTTCAATTTTCAATCTCGTTTATTAATTTAATTAATTTAGATAGAAAATCGGCGTTAACGTTACTGGTGTTTAGGAGTATGAGAGATTCTATTTTTATTATAATAATTAAGTGTCAAAATTTTCGTTCAGAAATGTAATTTTTCAGCTTTAAAATGTATAAAAGACTAAAATATTAATGTAAAAGTGATTTGGTCTTTGTAAGTCTAAAGGGTGGGAAATTCAAAATGGCGGATGTGAAACTTTAATAATTTATAACTCGAGAACGGTAAGAGATAAAAAGATGGGGTTTCTTTTGTTGTGTTCAGATAATTAAGGGCATTATTTTAGGTTGTTTAAAATTTCTGTGTTTTATGGATTTCCATAATTTTTAATTATATCTCGGAATTGAGAAGAGATATAATGTGGGGGTTTTTGTTAGGTTACTTGACATGCTCTGCTGAGTATCTGCGGTGATTTTATTTATCGTCTTTAATAATATTTTTATGATAAATTTTATCGTTAATTAGTTTATTTTGAGAGATACAATAATGGTTTATAATCAAAAGTTATTTGACTTTTTGTGATAGTTCCAATAATCACATTAACTAGGTCTGTTAATAATATAATTTATTTGTTTATAACAATCATGTTTGAAAAAATGCTAATGAGATAATTATTATTTTAGCGTGATAATGTTTCTCAGGCATAAAAGGTCATGTTCTTATGAATAATCTACTTTTAATTAATTTATTTATATTTTATTTTAATTTTCTGAGTTTATTCTTATGGAACATGTATTTATTCGTGTGTTGAATTGAATTTATATTGCATAAAAGATCTCATAAAGCTTGTAATATTCATTTACGATCAATTTTAGTGACTCTGGGGAATTTTAACAAGCAATTGTCCAAAAGTTTATAGTGTGATTCATGCAAATGGGGCTTAAGCTTGAAAGGGTACCTTAAGGCAGCCATGTTCTCTAGGCTTATGTCTACTGCTTTAAGAACGCGTATTCGCATCAGCTGAGTGTTTGTTGTGACAGCTATTTTAAAGAATAATTGTTATATTATAATGTTGTTTTCAGATGCTGGGGACTTCTAGCAATGAAGATGGAAAATCGAAAAATTTATGCGGGTGGAATATAGCGGTGATTATACCGTCAGACGTGACACTAGGGTGGCGTCGGATGCAGTAATAGCAATGATAGAAAAAATACAAGTAGATTCTTGGACTGGTATTGTGAAATTATTTGACTCCATGGTTTCCTCTGTCTTTTTGTACGGCGCGCAAATGTGGGGTCTGCAATATTTAAAATTTTTAGAAAATGCTCAAACTTATTTTTTTAAGAAACTATTGTGCTTACATAAAAATACGTCAACGAGCACGTTAAAAATTGTATTAGATCTTAAAGATATATCCGTTGAAGTTTTAAAGCGTGCTTTGGGTTGGGTTATTTGCTTGCTCAAGATGGAAAATGAAAGATTCCCGAAGAAATGCTTTAATAGACTCATTAGCTTAGCAAAAAATGTTGTAAACATGGAAGAGGCTCTTCCGTTCAACTGGGTTCTTCAACTTAAGGCTGTTTTATTGCCCTTGAATTATGACTTTTTTTGGGATTATTTGAACACAGATTTATGGCAATCTTACAGAGAGGATATTCTTATGCGATACACATTGTTTTGCAGAGAGCGGGATTTTACGAAATATGATAAATCTTTGTCAAGTCAATTTCATTTTAGCAGAAATTCTGAAGATCATGGTATTTTGGCATACTCGCAAAAATGCCCACTGAATTTATATAAAGTCAAAGCTCAAACTAGATTAGCAAATAATTATTATTGTAATTTTGTTATAAATAGGAAGTCGTTTAAATTGTATGCCAGAGAAAAGTGTTGTTTTTGTAGTCTGAGTGAAAATGAAACGCTTCCACACATTATTACGCGATGCCCTTTTTACGCGTCACTTCGCAATTCTTTTTTTGGTTTTTTTCATATCGACTGTGAGGTTTAAGACGCTATATATAGTGTAATAGTTATGGACACAACGATTGCGGCGACAAAAAATTTGTATAATTTCTTATTTTACGCACTGCAGTTTAGGTCTGTTGCGTTGGTTACTCGTGGCACTTTACTTTTGATTTGTATACTTTGGTCTATACACTTGTCGACTGCGTGATATCTTTTATGTTTTTTTTTACTACTTATATCGCATTGTAATTGTATGGCAATTAGGTAAAATTATTATTTTTGTTATATTGTAATTATGGCTGTGCCTAACCCCTTTGTAATGGGAAATTAATCCTGAAACAAATAAATATATTAATTGATTGATATTATAATTTATATAATATACATTTTTTATATAAAAAAAATTTATTTTTTATATTAACAATATAATTATTGTTATCGTAAAACATTGTTATAAAAAACATTATTATAAAAAAATTAACTGATTGTGGGATTTAAACTCGAGTTTACAAATTATGAAGCAATTACTTATTCACTACGCCAAATACTTGTATGTAAGTGTCCTAATAAACTCTACTCTAAAAACGCTATATTTATTATTAAAATATCTCAAAAACGATTAACCGTTGGCACCTAAATTGGGGTATTATTACATTTAAGAAAATTTTCTCTGTAATCCTACCAAGTTTCATCAAAATCGGCGGAGTTTAGTTTTAAGCCCTCCCTTGTAAGACTAAAATTAACACGCTTCTAAGATGTTTAATTTTTTAACAAATCAGACTTAATAGACGTTTAGCAGAACAAACCGCTCAGTAGCAATTAATGATTAGCTCTTACTTTTAAAATTTATAACAAAGAAATCAATGTCGAGTGTCGACAAGACAATGCAGCAGTTAAATTGTTTTTCTGAACGCCGCAAATGTTATTATTTAATATAAAAAATAATTGCAGCAAATGTATTAAAATTGTTAACAAAATAACATGCGTAAACTTAAAACATATATATGCATATATGTATACAAAGTGAGTTGTTACATGAAAAATTACTTACCTCAGATACTGAATAAATAACAATGATTCTTAAATCCTTAAGATATTCCTGATCCTCCTGAATATTCCGTAATAATTTGAAAAATTACGGAAGTAAGGAAAACACGTCCATACGGGTTCACGTTATCGCAGAAAAAAACAATATATAGCGCAGAGAAAAACAAAATAGCCGCGCTGACCGTTGGGAGGAGACTTTCCGTTATTATGGAGGATTTACACTGCACGAACTTCTCCATTAAGGCGGCATAAGGTGTAACCAGCACAGTTGACCAATCAGAATTAGATCGCGTTTTTAACTTGCCAATTGGCAATGTGGGCTATCACATTCCGTCTGGCTGCACTTGCGTCGATTGCGCGCGCCAAAATATAGTAAAGTTATTATATAAAAAATGTTATTACTTTAGTTAATTATAAAAATAATAATAATTAATCCTTAAGGTGCATACATGGGTCTAAGGCAAGGATGCCAGACTCGCGGTTTTTGCCAGCCACAACCAGCCAGTGGTGGGGATGCGCAGAGATGCCAACTTTACGTTTCAACAACGCAGCCGAGGGCTTCGGCTGGCTTCGGCCAGCTTCGAGCGTCAATGATAGAAGAGGATAGACAGATCTGTTGTCTTCTTCTTCTCTCTCGGCTATTGGCTATGCGATTTCGGATCTCGTGAATGCCGAGTTGACGAGGCGACCAGACGACGCGTGACATTAGGTTTGTTCTTTTCAGCAGAACTTTCTGCACTAGTTCAAAAAGTGTAAACTGAAGCGTTTTTTTTTACCAGAAGTGACGTCAAGAGTACTGTTCTTTTCAGTAGTACAACAGAACTTAGTTCAACAGTTCACTGAACTGCTTGCCCCAGGTCTTGAGCAAGTGCAAGCAGTGCAAAGGTGGAAAGTCTGAAATGGCCTGGTTCTTTTCAACTGAACTGCTGCACTAGTTCACAGGTTAGTTTAGTGCCGTAACTTAAAAGGGTAAATATAAAGGATAAATATATGTTTGATATGTATTTTATATTTTAAAGTTTTATTTTTTATAGCGCTATATTAGATCCGAAGGGTGTTAATAGTCAAATTAAGGAGGCTATATTGAGTCCTGGTCAAGGAGATAACGCCCACCAACGCAATCAGGTATATGATTATTATCAGATGTATAGTGAGAGCTTTATAGAATTTTAATTTTTTAGAATATTAAAAAATGAATATTTTTTAGAATATTAAAAAATAGAAACAACGGGAAGTGCATACATTAAAAGGGATGCAGCTGAAAATATTTTGGTTGATGGAAATGGAAATATTACTTGTGAATCTAAAGGTACGTCAAAATTTATCTAAATATATAAATGAGACAAATAATAAAACGTCAAGCCTAATCTAAAATTTGCAGTAATTAATTTTGTTAAAAGTAATGTGTAAATATATAATAAGTATCCAAATCTACGTTACATTTACTTTATTTATGTTAATACAGTAATTACTGTGGATATTTTCGATTAGGCTTGATGTTTCATTATCTTATTTTGTTTTTTTTGTGATTTATAATTCTACCTAATTATGCGTTTATACGATGCATGTTTATAT